AGAACTCCTTGAGGGGCAACGCCGGGGGGAGACTGGCGCAGGGGGGCGACACATCCCCGATAGACCAGCGACGGGACCCCGATGGCGAGAGCGCGAGGTCCTGGGCGGGGTGGGCCATCTGGCCCCTGTCGGCCATCCATGGGCGACTGGGGGTCGATGCGCCGCCGCCTGAGCAGATCCTCGAGTACCATGTGGGACCTGCTCCGGAACATGAACATCCTGTAGACAGATTTGCCCTCCCTCCGACCTTGAACAGAACACCCAACGCAACGGCCGCACTGTGTATAGGCGCATCCACCCCGATTGTGCCAATGTGCGTAACGACATCCAACGTGTGCATAGACGCTTGCGGTTATAAAGAGAGAGAGAGAGAGAGAGGTGTTTGGCACAGGCCCGAAATCCGCCGACCTTGTCGGCGCGTGTGAGGGGCTTTTCCGTTCGAGTCGTCGTCGCCTGCGCTTTCCGTTCCTTGTGCCCGTCGCCGCTCCTCTATCCTTTCCTAGGTTCTCCTCCTCAAGCGCGTCGGCCAAAGCGAAATTGAGCAACGTCGTATACACTCAAAAAGAAGCCCCTTCCCTTTGATCCCTCCCCGCCGGGAGGGGGGGGGAAGGCCGGGTCCGGGCCTGGGGAGGTCCCTGGTCAGATACGCTTCCCCTCCAGGATCTCCCGGGCAGCAGAAATCCTCAAGACGGGCCAAGGGTGCCCCAAAAGCTCCCAAAGGCAGTCCACGAGGGCCCCGAATCGCCGAACGATCTGTCCATGGACGCCTGGACGGCCTCCGGACGGCCCAAGAATCCTGCAAGACGCTCAAACAGGCTTCCAGGAGCAGTCCCAAGAGTGCCTCAATAACCAAAATCGTCAATTCTCCATCGGTTTTTGAATGATTTCGGCGTTCTCGCCTTTCCCGCTTCCCGACGCTCCAAGACGGCCCAAGCGGCCTACCATATCGCCCCCAGACAGTCGCCCAAGAAAGTTCCAAGACATTTCCATAAGGGCCCCAAAGGCCCCCAAGACGACTCCAAGACGGTGCCGAGACGACGGACCAAAACGGACATTTCGAGCCCTCCGCCCCGAGTGCTCCCCAGAGAAACCAAGAGGCCCCCCAAAGGCCCCCAATAAGCCCCGAAAAGACCTCAAGATGCTCCCAGGAGGCCCCCAGGAACCCCCAACGGGCCCCCAAGAGACCCCTACAGTGTCCCCCAAGACCCCCAAAAGCGTTTCGACCAGACACCAAGAAGCATCGCTGAGGACTCTGACCTACGTCAGCGTCGTTGTCGTCGGCAGTCCGACGGCGTGTACACAGTGAAGTGGTTACCGCGCTGCCCTTTGTCTTGGTGGCGACACACCACCCCGATCCTGGTAGATGGCGAATCCATGGCGACTCCTCCACCATCCAACTCCTCATCCCTCCTCCTCCTCCTGATTATCTTCGCTCCTCCCTTCTGTTCCCCTTCCACTTCACCTACTCCGTCCCCCTCTCCTCCTCCCTCCCACTCCTCAACTTCTTGAATCGTTTCGTCGTCGCCGTCTTCGTCGTCCCCCATCAGGGTCGGCGGCACCCGCCGCAAGGCCTTCGCACTGTTGGCCTTCGAGAAGCAAATAGATTTTGCCCTCCACAGCCCATCCTCCCTGAACGTTACTCCAGATTTCGTAATAAAAGGGAGGGGGTCTGGACCCTCCAAGACAAGCCATTTCAGACCTCCCCCGTGGGAGAACCCTCCAAAACATCGTCCCCAGACCCCCCCAGGCCCTCCAAGATAGCCTGGAAGAGACCCCCCGCGAAATGAGACCCCCCTCCCTTTCTTACGAAATCTGGAGTACCCCTGACCCCCCCCCCCCGCGAGCCGCGCCCGACGCCCGCGCTGGCAACACCTTTCTCAGCACAACGCCTGCCCGGTGGCCGGCGGCGGCGCCGCGGCGCAGGCGCCGTACGCTCGGAGGAGTGCGGGCTGAGGCCAATCCCCTGTCGGACGCTGGCAGGATGGGGCTCAGTGGGGCCTGGCTGATAATGCTGCGTACTTTGGCGGTGCGCACAAGGGAGTGTAAAACAGGGCTAGGATCGGGATAAATCGCTCCAGAGCGTTCCGGAGCGCTCTCAGAGCGTTCCGGAACGCTCTGGAGCGGCCGCGGCGCCCAATACATCCTCCAAACCCGCCGATTCTCAGAGATTTCGAGTTATCCCGATCCGATTTTGTCCCGATCTTCGCGTCGTTTTAGGGTGGAGGGAGGGGGGAGGGCTTCTTAAAAGGAACCTGCTGCTTAGAAGGCGCCGGCCTTGCATCTACGGCTAAGGCCAGCGCCTGCTCAGAAGCAGGGGTGCTTCTAAGAAGCCCTCCCCCCTGCCCCCACCCCCCTCTGCGAGTGACTGAATGCTCCTGAGATCCTGACCTCAATTTTTCTTCGAACTGGGCGATCTCATCTGGCTTCGGGCCCCAAGACCCTGACAGATCGATCCGGTTCGAAAGAGGCAGCAGAACGATAGGGTCCAGGTCTCTGGTCGAGGTTTTCTGACTACCTACCAGACCATCCCAACCCAGCCCGAAGACCCGAATTTCGGGTTGGGGGGGTACGGGTTCCATATGTGTTTGCTCAAAGTTCCCCGACCCCCCCCACACTGGAAATGGAGGGCAAATTGAGGCCTTTGGGTTGGGTTCGGGTGCTTTGGTGGGTGGTGGTTTTCACACTGTTGCACTTTTTCCGCGACGTCGGATCTCAGGGACGGTAACTCAAAGAGTCGGTCCGGGGTCCAAACGCACCAGCGTCCCGAGATGCGTCCAGCCGTGGCCATGGGGGGGGCCTCCCCGAGGGCCAGCCGCGATTCTCTCAGCTCGCCCTCCTCGGAGTACGCCCCGTGGCCGACGGCAGGCGCGTACGCCCCGTCGCCGACGGCGGGGGCCTGGGGAAGCCCAAGCATCCGCACCAGACCTCTCACGGGGCGCGCTCTGACAAGACGTCGAGCGCGGCGGATCCAACCGCGGCGACGAGGGCCTTCCCGGAGGCTCAAGACGGCGAACATGGGGAGGGGTAATCAGCGGCATCGGTACAGCAGAAGCTCGACCACAAGAAACCTCCCGCAAGAAACCCAGCCCTGAGACCCCAGGATTTTCCTGGGCTTGGGATATTGGAACGCCACGCTTTCCATCGCAAGACCATCGAAAGCGAAGAAACCCGGGGCACCCTGGAGGCAAGCAGGGTGTTTCTTGGCATGGGTTTCCACTGTGCAGTCGGGGCGCTGACCTCAGGAACCCTAATCAAAGAACGAGGCCCCCTTTTCCCAGAAGTCGAACTTCGACTTCCCATGGAGAACCTAAGGGAAACCTGAGGCAAACTGCACGACAATCGAGGAACACCGAGCCCCTCTCCCACGAAAAGGGCTCCATCTTCAACTTTGGACGCCCGAAATGGGTACGGAAAAAATGGTGCAATGACCAACAGCAAATGTTGTCCCAAACAAACAGCGGCCGCTGTTGGGCAGGCGTCCTTCTGTCTCGAATTGACACAGGCCGCGGCGGGGTGGACAGCGAGTCCTCTTCCAAGTGAACCAGAACTGCTGTTGGGCATTGTACCCATTCTTTCCGTACCCATCCCGCTCGTGCCGATCAGCGCCCCGACTGCACCTCTTCATCCCCTGCGTGCCTTCCTCGCCTTGGCGACCACGCTCGCGTGCCTCGCCATGGCCGAGGCGTGCACCGGCGGGAACGTCAGGGCGTGCAGCGCGCCCACGGCCCAGAGCAGCAGCGCGCCGAGCAGCGCGAGGGCCCCCGCGCGGGCCGCCGCGCCAGCGAAGTAGACGCCGCCCGCCAGGTGCGAGCTCCGGTCCCCCTCCTCTGCAAGAGGGCAGAACGTCCACCCCGATAAGAAGCACCCCCGACGCGCGAGGCCTTTCTAGCAAACGCGCCCAGCGAAGGAATCGAGCAGGGCAGGGCTGTTTAGCAAACGTCCAGGGCCGATCAGTAAACGCCACTTGTCCGGTCCGGGTGGTTTCTCCTCCCTTGACCCTGGGGGGCGCCAACTATACTTAGGTCGGGCATGTCCTCCTACAGGGGGCTTTCGCCAAAAAATAAAGCAAATTCAAACAAGTTCAAAACTAGTCAAGAATAGTCAACCCATCGTCCCCAGACTATGTTTTACATTTTTTGGATCTTCCTCCTGTAGAGGGACAGTCCCGACTTAAATCTATACGGCAGGTTCGTGTCGTGCCGACTGCGGCGTTGGTTGCTGACGCCGTGGGTGTCGTTCAATTTTGAACGATCGGTCGTTTCCGAAACGTGAAATCGTTCGACAACGAACGAACCTGGGTCGCCAGAGGCGTTGCAAATTGAACGCCAGCGGCGGGGTCGCCGCCAGTCGACACGACGCAAACCTAACGTACACCTGCATCGAGCCTGGCCAACTGCAAGATTTAAATGTCTTATCTGCCTGCCTGCACCGCCGCCGCAGCTGCAAACGGAGGCTCCAGCGAGTGCCTGATCCTGGCCAGCTTCATCCTCCTTTGCCCCGCTCCCTTCGAGGAACGAGGAGGACGGTGGGGAGGGGAAGGGGGAGGAGGAGGGGGAGGGGGAGGGGGAGGGGGAGGAGGAGGAGGAGGAGAGAGGAGGAGGAGGAGGAGAGAGAGGAGGAGGAGGAGGAGGAGGGAGGAGGAGAGAGGAGGAGGAGAAGGAGGAGGAGGAGAAAGAGGGGGAGGAGGAAGAAGAGGAGGAGTGTGCATATGCATCGAACCTGGCATGGACCATCCCGGGCCCCGGATCGGTGTGCAAGTGTGTGTGTGTGTGTGTGTGTGTGTGTGTGTGCCCTCCCGGCTTGGCTAGGGAGGCGGAAACACCGAACCTGGGCCCAGGATCGGCGTGGGTGTGCAGTTGGCCCCCCTCCCCCAGGAGGAGGAGGAGGAGGAGGATCTCTGACCCAGCTGCCAGGACAGCGAGCGGGCCGCCTTTGGACAGTCCCTGAGCCAACTAGGGGTTGTCAAGGGGGTGCGCCCGTTACCTGGGGAAGCCCCAACTCGCTGCCTGCTGTTGTCGGCTGCTAACGAGGGCGAAACATGGCGAAACATGGCTAGCAACCCACGATGCAACAAACTGGATAGAACAAAATTAGAATGCTGCCTCATGCTGCCGAAGCTGTTATCCCACGTAGGAGGAGGAGAAGGAGGAGGAGGAGGAGAAGGAGGAGAAGGAGAAGGGCGAGGAGTACGAGGGGGAGGGGGAGGAGAAGGAGGAGGATGATGAGGACAAAACGGCATAAACAGAAACATTCGGAGCTCCGCGCGGACTTCTTAGATCGGCGGTGGGCCACCCTGGCGACGCCTCCGGCGCCGCCCCTGGCGCGCCAGGGAGGGGGGTCCAACGCCGATCCGAGGAATCCACGCGGCCTTTCAAAATCTGTATGTAGGCAATGTTTGCTCCATCGATCCTCCCACGCATCTCGCAGAGCACGGTCCACGATAGCGGCGGCCACTACCCACCTGTGGGCAGCGAGCCCCGGGGCGAAGTCAGAGGGGGCGGCCCTTCTCAGAAGGCTCGGAAGGCATCGGGCCTTCTGAAGAATGATCGGAGCCTTCTCCGAAGAGAGTCCGGCGGCTTCTCAGAAGGCCGGAGGGCTTCTGAGAAGCCCTGCCGCCTTCTGAGAAAGCCTGATCCCTCCTTGTCATCGCTCGGGACGTCCATTCCTCGTGCACTCGTCGATTTCGTGCGATCTGTTTCGGAAATGAAAGCCAAGATGCTCCTCGCTTGTCCACACGTCCGAGCGATGCCAAGAGCTAAAAGTGCCCACGCCCCCAGGTGCCCCCGGGATTTCCAAGGAGGCCCCCACGACCTCCAGAGCACCCCTCACGAAGACCAGAGAGCCCCAGGGGCTCCAAGACTGAGCGAGAAGCTGGGGGGCACCTTGGGCCAGGGGCACCGGCAACAGCCCCCGCAGTCTCTCACTTCCCCCCCTGGGCTGGCCGCGCAACCTGTTCTGCGCGAGCAGCAAGCTGGAGTTGCTCGGGTGCCCGGGCTCACCTCCCAGGGAAGAATCCCTCTCCCCCTCCGCTCGCTCGGGCACAGTGCCAGGCCGTGGCGGCCGCGGGAGGGCACATGTGTGTGTGTGTGTGTGTGTGTGCGTGCAGAGAGGCCTCGCCCCAAGCACTGCTTTCCGTGTTCGCTCGGAGTTCGCTCTCCGTCGTTCTGTCTTCGTTCCGCCTGTGCTGCAAAACCAAGCCGAAACGAAAACGGCCCACGAACCCACGAAGTCCCTCAAACACAGTTTAGGTAGACCGTTGTGTCATATGTGCAGCATCCACCCTCTCATCCACCCTGTGTGTTGTGCGCGAAGCATCCACAGACACGCTGGACTCACAAGCCTTTATGGCGATGCCACCCAACGCAAAACGAACGCTGTGATGCTGTGACGCAAATGCGGCTTTAACATCAATGCGCCTTAGCCGTAAGACCTCTATTTATTACTCCATCGAGGCACGGATCCATGAAGCAAAGATTTAAAGGGAAATTAGGACACACAAATAAATACACACAAATAAAAATAGTCTCCATATTTTCTCATATTTTCTGGGTCCATATTTTCCCATATTTTCCTGGAAATCGAGGATTAATTGTGTCTGTGTGTTTTTTTCCCTCCTGAAGATTTCACGACCAAATCTCCGAATCGCAAGAGACTGCAGCTCTGGCACCGTGCCCTGGGGCACGAGTTGGAGTGTCCTCCAGTCCCTTTTAGTTCTCCGCTCCCAGCCCCGAGTGGATGAGCTGTGGAAAGGGGGCTCCTCGGCGATTCAAGCAGACAAGTTCCTCGACGATCTGTTTATGCAATGGCTCTTCGATTCAAGCTGACACTTCTACAGAAAGTGAACTGGTGTTTAGATCCTGCCACAACTCAACTTGTGTCTAAAATTGCTGCGGTGAGCGGCGCAGGGAAGAGAGCGCCGGCACACACACGCAGCCACCTACCGCCCACGGGTCTGGACCCTACATTCCTAGATCTGCCAGAGCGTTGGCGCGCGACTCCAAGGGGCGTGGCGAGCGTTGCCGCGGGACTTTTTCGGAGCCAAGGGGACCCCAACATGGGTCACGAGGGCCGTAAGAGGCCCTCAACGGGGCCCCGAGTCGTCAAGACATCGACCAAAGACTGCCAGCATGGCCTCCAGATGGCCCAAAGAGGCGCCGAAGAAGTGTGACGAGGGCTCCAAGAGGCCCCTCAGAGGTGAAAAACAATGGCTTCCCAACACTGTTTGACGAAGTTTGGCCTTCCTGCCTTTTTGCGTTCCCGACGCTCCAAAACGGCCCCAGAGGCCCCCAAGATTGGCCAAAGACGGACTCAAGACGGCCTGCTCCGCGCGGATTTCTTGGATCCGCGCTGACCCCCCTCCCTGGCGCGCGGAGCGCGCCAGGGGCGGCGCCAGAGGCGCCGCCGGGGGGGGCCTAGCGCGGATCCAAGAAATCCGCGCGGAGCGCCAAACGTTCATGTTTATGGCGTTTCTTTCTTCGAAAGAGGAGAGGCCCCGGAAGGGAACACGCACCGACATTTCGAGCGCTCCGCCCAAATGAGACATCCAGGACCGCCAGCAGGTCCCTGAGAGGCCCCCGTGAAGCTCCAGGAGGCCCTCCACAACTCAGATCCCGAAGGCCATCACGACGTCCCCGAGAGGCCCCAAAGACACACCAAAACCGCCTCCCATAGGCTCGCGAGAAGCCTCCCAAGAGATCCCCACAGGCATCCAAGAGACCTCTTACATACAACCTAGGCGCGGAGGCGGAATGGTCCGAAGTCCACCAGATCCGCCACACCCTGTGCTTGACACAAGGGTTCACGGATGCGCATAGCGTGCTAAACATTTGAGTGTTGTGGCCCTTTCCACAAGGTTCCTGAGAGGGTATCGGCCGATCCCGCGGGCAACCTGGAAAGACCTCAACGTCCACACAAAATCTCCCCAAGACGGCCAAGATAGCCTCCAAGACACCCAAGGTGGCCTCCAGGACGGTCACCAGAAGCCCCTAAGACGCCCACGATATGTCCCAAAGAGAGCACAATATTGCCCTCCAGACGGCCTAAGAGGGCTCAACCACGCCCCAGGAGGGCTCCACGAGGACCTCCAGGATATCAAACTCATGTTCTGTTCTATGCTTATTGCTCCTTGATCTTAGCGTTCTCGACTCTTCGGGCGCCCGACGCTGCAAGACGGCCCGGTGGGCCCCCACGATCGCTCCGAGACAGCCGAAGAAACCGCTCCAAGACGGCCGAAGGAATCCCAAAAGGCCCGCTAGACGGGCCAAGACGACCCAACGGCCCAAGCAAGGGCTCCCAACTTCGCGCTTCGCGCTGCGCGAAGCGCGAAGCGCGAATAACTTCGCGCTCTCGCGCCGCCCCCCAAAAGGGAGAAAAGGAGGACGAGGAGGAGAAGGAGAAGGAACGAGGACCGCGAAGCGCGAAGCGCGAATAACTTCGCACCCTCGTGGGAGCCCTTGCCAAGAGGCCCCCAGGACGGACGGCCTCACAGACCTCTAAGGCGGTCTCAAAGCACCGAAAGAGGGCCCACGCGGCGGCCCAGAGGGGGCCCCAAGAGGGCCTCCAAAGGCCAGGAGGCCACCAAGAGACCCCCAGAGGCCGCCGAGATGCCCTCAGAGGCCCTCTTAGAAGCCCCCGGGTGGCCCACAAGAGGCGTCCGTTTCATGTTGTATTATCTTCATCTTCCTCCTCATCTTTGTCCTCCTCATTCTCCTCCTCCTCCTCCTCCTCCTCCTCCTCCTCCAACTCCACCTCCAACTCCTCCATCTCCTCCTGCCATCTCCTCATGAAACACGCATCCTGTCGCAGCCTGAGGCCAGTCGGAAGGGCGGGCCGGGCGTTTCGCCTGAGCCTTCCTTACCACGTATGAGCCCGAAACTGATGAGCTGGCAGCTGTTTCACAAACGGAGGGCGGGCCGCTTCCAAAAAGGAGGCTCTCGCCTCTCGCCTTAGCGCGGGTGGAATCGTGTAAGAGTTTCACGGGTGGATGGCGGGTGGATTCACATTCGTTTCAACAAATTCTAAAAGAGTTTCACGGGAGGGTGGCTGGTGGCTTTCAAAATGTGGCTCTCGCAGTCGCGCCGCGCATTTTCGTTTCAGACATTTGCAGGTGTTTGACTGGATTCCATGGCTGACGTGCAGAAGCTGTGTTCCCGAACGACTCTGGATTGTCAGGGTGCAACAGCTACGATGAGTCGCGAGGTTGAAGCCTCAAGAGCTGTGCGTTTCCAGAAGGCAAGGAGGCGGCGGTGGTTCGACGTAGGCGTCTTCGCCCGCCGCTCCCTGATGATTTATCAAAGGGGTGCCTGCCGTGTCGAACATATAAGTCTTAAGTTCCCCATCTCCTAAGGATGAGGTTCTTGTTACTCCCCATATCCAACATATCGGGTTCGCTGTATTACTCTGACCGCGCCGACTCCTTTCACTCACCTCCCATCCTCCGCCTCTTCTCCTCCACCCAGAGTCGCAGCCAGGGCCACTACGTAGGTTATGTTGTAATGCTGATGATAAATCTGATGACGATGATGGTGCTGACGACGACGAGGACGACGAGGATACTCATGATGCCGGCGATGGTCATGATGATGATGCTGCTGATGAGAATGATGCTAGTCGTGGGTGCTGTCACTGCGGGTGAATGATGACGAAGGTGATGATGATGCTGATGCTGTTGATGAGGATGGTGATGATGGTGACCAATCTGGTGATGCTGATGCTGATGATGATGGTGATGCTGATGATGCCGATGTTGATGTTGATGATGACGATGATGAAGAAGATGATGATGATGATGATGATGATGATGAACAGTATGCGTATGACAATGGCGATGATGAAACGTGAGATGACGATGTTGATGATGATGGTTTTGATGATGAGTGTGAGGGTGTTGCTGGTGATAGCGGCAGCACTGGTGATGTTTGTGATACTGACGATGCTGACGATGCTGATGATTGTGGCGATGCTGATGCTGGCGGTGCTGCTGATGATACTGCTAATATTGATGATGATGCTGAGGATGCTGCTGCTGAGGATGGCTAGGATGATGATGCTGATAATGTTGATGATGCTGCTGACGGTGATCCGGATGATGGTGATGATGACGATGATGATGTTGACCATGATGATGCTGCTGCTGATGATGATGACGATGACGATGTTGTTGTTGATGATGGTGATGATGCTGATTCTGATGATGATGATGCTGATCATGAAGCCGTTGACGATACTGGTGATGGTGTTCAAGATGTTTATGATGCGGATGATGATGGTGATGCTGATGCTGAGGATGCTGCTTATGATGATGATGATGATGCTGATGATGATGATGATGATGATGATGATGATGATGATGCTGATGCTGATGCTGATGCTGATGAACATGGCGGAGCAGGTGATGAGAGAAGGGCTCGAGCGAGACGCTGGTCCTCGCAGAGGGGGGTGTACTACACGGGCCCGTTCGCGTCCAGATCGCGGGGATGCCTCGACCGGTTTGCCTGTGTGCATGCTCAACAAAACATTCTCCGCTGTCGAATCAGATCTTGAGCATGGCTCGGGCGAGGCGCCCGCTGACTTTCGCACTCCCGGGGGGGGGAGGGGGAGGGGAGCGCCGTGGGGGTATTGAACGGGCCCACCAATTTGCAAGGATGTTTCGGACGGGTTGCCTGTCCGAGCCCAATACGCAAGGATGTCTCGAACGGGCTGCCTGTTTGCATGCTCAACATCCTCCGCTTTCGGAGCTCATGCTGAGGTGTCTCTGGCGAGGCGCCGGTTGCCGCACCCCAGGAGGCCCATATTGCGAGGATGGCTCGGGCGGTTTACCTGTGTTGGTGGCCAGGCTCGTCTGCTTTCAGAATAGATGCTGGGGATGCCTCGAGCGCGGCGCTGGTTTCAGCACCCCAATGGGCCCAGATTGCGAATATGTCGCAGACTCACTCGTGCTCAAACTAAACTCACTCGTGCTCAAACTCCTTCGTGCTCAGACTCACTCATACGTGGACTCGAACTGATCATGCGCATACTTTGACTCACTCACACTCAGATTTACGCACACTGAGGCTCACTCACACTTAGACCGACCCACCCTCAGACTCACTCGTAGTCAGACTCACTCGTACTCAGACCCGCTCAGACTCAGCCGCAGACTCATCATATGCATACTCAGACTCACGCACATTCAGACTTATTCAATTCAACCACTCACACTCTGACCCACCTACCATCATATTCACTCGTAACCATACTCACTCGTACCCTCATATTCGTACGCATTGTATTCATACTCAGACCCGCTCACACCCAAACTTCCCCACACTCAGACTTACTCTCACCCGGAATTGCTCATGCTCTGACAGACCCATTGTCAGACCCTCTCGTAAAACACTCCCATGCCTAAACTTACTGAAACTCGCACTCAACTCGTTTATACCGCCAGCAGTTTTTTGTCGAAAGCCCTTGCGCCCAGACACTCACGTCGGATAGGCCCACGCAAACGGATGCATATCTGAGGAGCTCCACGAAATGAACCATTCCTCCGCCCGCGCCGACTCCTTCCTCACCTCCCTCACCCTGCTCCCCCGCTTCCCCACACAGAGTCACTCACAGGGTCGCGACTTAGATTCTGGTATGTTATGAGGATGATGACAACGAGTGAGATGATGGTGATGATGATGCTGATGATGATGATGATGATGCTGATCATGATGATGATGATGATGATGACGATGATGATGATGGTTGTGATGATGATGCTGATGCTGATGATGATGGTGGTGAGTATGATAAAGATGATGCTGATGCCGATGATGCTGATGACGGCGCTGCTGATGATGGTGATTATGACGATGATGATGATAAACATGACGACGGCGATGATGATGGGGATGATGCTGGTACTGATGATGTTGAATGTGATGGTCATGCTGATGCGGATGAAGATGATGCTGATTATGATGATGCTGTTACCGGATGTTGACATGTTTGGTTGATGTTGACGGTGGCGATGATAATGCTGATGACGGTGATGATGATGCTCATGATGATCCTGATACTAGTAATGATGCTGATGGTGATGACCACACTGATTTTGATGGTGAGTATGATAAAGATGATGGTTGTGGTGATGATGATGATGATGCTGATGATGAAAATCATGCTACTCACGATGCTGATGCTCATGATGACGACGATGCTGATGATTGTGATGAATGTGATGACGATGAGTGTGGTGGTGATGATGAAGCTACTGATAATGATTTTGATGATGACGATGGTGATGACGCTGATTATGATGGTGGCGATGATGATGCTGACGGTGATGATGGTGATGGTGATGGTAATGGTGATGGTGATGATGTTGCTGCTGATGATGATAATGATGGTGATGGTGATGGTGATGATGATGACGATGACGATGACGATGACGATGACGATGATGATGATGATGATGATGATGATGATGATGATGATGATGATGATGTTGATGTTGATGTTGATGTTGATGATGATGATGATGATGATGCTGATGCTGATGATGATGATGATGATGATGATGATGATGATGATGATGATGATGGCGGAGCAGAGTTCTCGCACACCTAAAGGGAGGGGAGGGGCGCCAGGGGGTACTGCAAAGGTCCGTTCGCGCCCAAATTGCTGGGTTGTCTCGAGCGGTTTGCCTGTTCGCATGCTCAACCTCCTCCGCTGTCGGAGCAGATTTTGAGGATGTCTCGGGCGAGGCGCTGGTGTTCGCATCCCAAAGGGGGGGGGGGAGATTTCCACGCAATGAATACATGTTCAAAATTCTCAATGCAATCTCGGACCATCCCGCCCGCCAACCGGAAAGGCACCCCAAAAGAAGGAAGCCACGCTCCTGGCGCCTCCAAGACGGCCTCCAAGACTGTCCCAAGAGGCCCGAAGACGGCCAAGATGGCCTCAAGACGGCCCACGACATCCTCCCGACTTGCCTACAAGACGCCCCAAGAGGGCTCCAATACGACCTCCAGGACACCAAAGTCATGGCCCACTGAGTTTAGCGTCCTCGCCTTTTTCATTGCACCAGCCTTGCAGACGTGCTGCAGCGGATTTCTGCATGGAATTCGGCGTGGATTTTTGCCCGAAGCGGCGAGCGAAAAACGAAGTGAAGTTTGCGTGGATTCTTTTTGGTCTCCTTTCCTGGCCAAACAAAAATCCGTACGACATCCTCCTCGAAATCTGGAGCGAAATTCTCCAGGACTTCCCCGGGCCCACCCTATCGTTTTCCGACCGGAATCCGCTCTGCGATGTTGTGGTGCCATGACCTTCTCGCGCGCCCGACGCTCCAGGACGGCCAGGCCCCCCTTTCGCAAACGATCGTGAAAAAAGGACCCTGGCAGCGCATATTGGAAGGACCGGGAGGGGCAGAGGACGCCAGATACAACGCCACCACACCCCGCTTGCCCCCCCACCCACTTGAGCAGGGACCGACCGTCCTGGCATTCCTATAGGCCTTCCGCGAAATGCTCTTAGAACCCCCAAATATTCCAAGAACAAAAGCCATGTTCTTAGAACATGAACCCGATGTGATAAAAAAAGACGGTCCCGGCCAGAACTGCTCTAAGGACAGCTCGTGGAAACCGCAAATAAGGTTCGTAGAACATTGTGTGGTAGGCCTATGGGCACGCCAAGACGCTTCGCCACTGCTTGACCTCGGGGATCTTCTGACCCGGGTCAATCCAGATCCGGGTCAGTCAGCCCTTGCAGAATCCTGCAAAAGCCTGCAAAATCCTGCACCCAAACCCGGGTCAACGCGAAGGATCCTGCAAGATCCTGCACCGAAACCTGGGTCAAGGCGACCCTGGCCCTGCAGGATCCTGCAGGATCCGGTGCCCTGGCTGACCCCCGTCTGCATTGACCCCCGTCTCAAGGCTCCCGATGACTTTCGACACTCTTTCGACACTTTTCTGGGTGCTCGAAATTATTTCTGGGATGTGGTCCTTAAGTACAGTGGGAGCAACATAACCCTACAGAGGAATTTTGGACGAAGCATATAAAATAGTAAAACAAAAAATGGTCAAAACATACACCAACAAATCGTCCCCAGACTATGTTTTGACTCTTTCGGAATATTAATCCTGTAGAGGGACGGGCCCGACTTTAGACACAAGGGAGGGAACCCAGGGATATGCAAAATCAATCCACACTGAATCGGCAAGCCAGATCGAATCGGAACGCGAATCGGATCGGGCCGCACTCGCACGGAGTCGGAGCCGAATCGGATCAGCTGCGCCAAGATACGCAACAACACCATGCGAGCATCGGGCCGAATCAGATCGGAATACCGGGATCGAGTCGAACCAAATCGAATCGACCGAAATCAAATCGACCAACCAAGTCGAACCAAATCGAACCGAACCGATCGAAATCACATCGAATCGATCGACATCAACTCGAATCAGGCCCAATCGGCAGCCGGCTTCGACATCGAATCGGATCGATCGGATCGAGATGCGCCCTGCTGGGCGGGGCCCGCCGCCTCGTTCGACCAAGGGCTCCTAAGTTCGCGCTTCGCGCTGCGCGAAGCGCGAAGCGCGAATAACTTCGCGCTCTCGCGCCGCCCCCCAAGGGGGAGAAGAGGAGGACAAGGAGGAGGAGGAGAAGGAACGAGGACCGCGAAGCGCGAAGCGCGAATAATTTCGCGCCCTCGAGGGAGCCCTCGTTCGACCTGGCAGACCCGACCCCCTCCCTGCCCTCGGAGCAGGGCGCGCCGAGGCCGCGGCAGCTCGACCGCGGCCCCCGGAGCCCTCCCGGCGTCCGAGAGCGCAGCCGCCAGCTCTCCAGGCCGCGCCCCGCCGCGGCGACGCGGGCCACCCCGCCGAGGTCTCCCTCTCGCTGGTCGAGTCGCCCTCCTCTGGCTCTCGCAATCCCCCCCCCCGCACCGTCGACGAACCAGATGTCCCAAGGCTGCAGAAATCCTGGCACGTGACGCGTGTCCTTCTCCCCCTCCGCGGGCACGTGCCAAGGAACCTTGCACGGGTACAGCGCGAGGCGCGGGGCGGTGCGGGCAGCAGCTACAACAGCTTCAAGTGTCCACTGGGTAACTGTTGTTTACCTGCTATTTCCCACTCGACACTCCGATGCCTACCATTGATCCACGGTGGCTCGCTACCGTGTCAACCTGTCGCTTCTCGTGACTCCCGTTCGATCCCGTTTGGGAAGGGTCTCTCATCCTTACCAGCCGAGAGTTACCGGTGCGGGACAGACCCTGAAATGACAGGAGAAAAGGGAAGGCGGGGGAGGAGGAAATAAACAGCTTGAGCCGTCTTGCCGCTCTCTGTGGCCGTCCTGGGGCCCTCTTGTGCTGTCTTGGAGCTCTTTCTGGGGGGTATCCTGGGCCGTCTTGGGGCAGCCTCGGAGGCCCTCAAAGCCGTCTTCTCCAGATCTGGGCCCGAAAAGGACATAACCCCAAAAGCAACCGAAACGCTAGGAGCATCAACGTTGTTTGCCTCCTCAAGCCGTCTCGGGGGCACTCTTGCGAAAGAGGAATCACAAGGACCAGCATGCGGCACGAGTCGTGCAGCTGAGGACAGGAGCACGTGCCACACAAAGCCCCGCTCGCCTTGCACATACCTGCACGCTGAGACTCGGGTGAGTGAGACGGCCTGCGGCTTCTGGTAGCTTCACCCCTCCCCCTCCTCCTGTCCTCCTCCTCCTCCTCCGGTTCCTCCTCCTCCAGTTCCTCCTCTTCCGGGTTCCTCCTCCTCCTCCTCCTCCTCCTCCTCCTCCTCTCCTCCTCCTCCTCCTCCTCCTCCTCCTCCTCCTCCTCCTCCTCCTCCCCTCCCCTCCCCCTCCCCCCCTCTCCCCCTCCCCCTCCCCTCCCCCTCCCCCTCCTCCCCTCCTCCTCCCCCTCCTCCTCCTCCTCCCTTCCTCCTCCTCCTCCTCCTCCTCCTCCTCCTCCTCCTCCTCCTCCTCCTCCTCCTCCTCCTCCTCCTCCCCCTCCTCCTGTCCTCCTCCTCCTCCTCCTCCTCCTCCTCCTCCTCCTCCTCCTCCTCCTCCCTCCTCCTCCCCCTCCCCCTCCTCCCTCCCCCTCCTCCCCCTCCTCCCCCTCCCCCCCTCCTCCTCCTCCTCCTCCTCCTCCTCCTCCTCCTCCTCCTCCTCCGCCTCCGCCTCCTCCTCCCTCCTCCCCCTCCTCCTGCTGCTCCTCCTCCTCCTCCTCCTCCTCCTCCTCCTCCTCCTCCCCTACCCTCCCTCCCCCCTCCCCCCTCCCCCCTCCCCCCTCCCCCCTCCCCCCTTCTCCCCCTCCCCCCTCCCCCCTCCCCTCTCCCCCTCCCCCTCCCCCTCCCCCTCCACCTCCTCCTCCTCCTCCTCCTCCTCCTCCTTCTTCTTCTTCTTCTTCTTCTTCTTGTCCTTCTCCTTCTCCTGCTCCTTCTCCTCCTCCTCCTCCTCCTAGCTATTTCCGGTTCGAGTCGGCACACTCACCTTTGATCAGCGCACTTGGAAGTGGCACCGCTGGTCAGAGCCAATCTTCACTCGTACACACGCGCCGCATGTCTCCGGCATGCGGCCGCCCTCACGATGGCACGTCGCTGCAGGAGTGGACGTGCAGGGGCAAGTGCGGCGGCTTCTGCAATCGGGGCTGGCGTGCGCAATGCTTCCGGTGCGGAGCCAAGGCGCCAGACCGTGTCCTGCGCGCCATTGCTGCCTAGAAGCTCAAGCCTGCAGCTGCTGTGCCCAGGCCGCCGAGGGGGCGCTGGGGCAACGGCGCGCCAGGCGGAGGCAAGGGCAGCAGGGGCCCCAGCAAGGAGGAGATCGAGGAGGCCGCCATCCAGAAATACAAGGATCATATCGCGGCGAAGGCTAAGCTAAGGGGTCCGAGTGGCTGGACAGCGCGACGGCCGTGCTGTCCCTGGCCGACCCCAAGGAGGAGGAGGAAAAGGAGAAGGGTCCCGTGGACTACACCACCAAGTCGCTGCAGGACCTGCATATGCGGCTCGGTCGGAAGGCCAAGCAGGTCGCGGCGTCCGAGCAGCGGCTGGCGGAGCGCGAGGCGCCCGTACTCGCAGCTATCGAGGCGAGGGACTCGGAGGCGCGGCAATTGGCTGCCCACCAGCGCGCCCACGAGGACATCCGGAAGGTCATCAAGCAGAAGGAGCTGGGCCAGGCGCTGCCCGACATCGACGCCGACGACCTGCAGAACACCGAGGCTGACGAGGTGCTCGGCATCGCGCAGGCTGCCTTCATCGCCCTTGCGAAGCTCGAGCTCGAGGGCATGGAGGGCCTCGGGGGCTGGGAAAACGTCGGCAATCGGGTCGAGGCGCTGCGGGCTAGGCGCCGCCAGGACGCCGAGGAGAGCGCTCGCCGGGCCGCGGCTGCTGGCGCCGGCGCGGCTGCTGCTGGCCGCGATGCTGTCGGTGCTGCTGCTGGGACGACCTCGCCGACAGAGGGGGCCGGCAGCATGGACATCGATTGGGACTCCCCCGACCCCGACCTCGCCGAGGAGCTCGGGACGGCCGGCATCGACACCTCCACGCCTTCTGGGAGGGAGCGGGCCAAGCGCTTGCTGCAGCTCCTTCAGTCCGCCGCCAAGCGGCCGCGGCCGGGGGAACACAGGAGGCGGCGCGAGGAGGAGAGAGGAGGCGGAGGGGGCGGGAGGGAGGCAGCGGGGCTGACGCCGCAGCAGCCGCGCCCGCACTGCGTCTGCGTGCAGGAGACGCGCCTGAAGCTGGATGCGAAGTTCATTGGCGCCAAAAGCTTTTAGGAGGCGGCGCACATGCAGGGGTCCTTCGGACGTGCGCTGCCTACCGGGGAGGGCGCGCTGGAGAGTTCGGGAGGCGTTGCGGTGCTTGCACACCGTGCTGTGCCCTCCGCTCCGCTGGAAATGGAGTACGGCAGCTACAAGCACCGCATCGTGAGCCGGGTGCTCAATGTAGCCGTCCCAGGGGGACTTGCCCTCTTCTCGGTCTACGGCGAGACCAGCGTGGGCATCAAGGGCAATTTCGCCCTACTGCACTTCCTCATAAAGCTGGTGCTGAGCATGGACAGGATGTGGATCATCCAGGCCGATTGGAACGTCACGCCCGACGAGCTGGAGCAGTCGGGATTTTTGCGGGTGACGCGCGGCGCCCTCGCCGCTGGCGCAGGACCGACCTGCTGGGCTTGCAGCAGCGAGGCTGGGCAGGAGTTCCGGCAGCAGCAGCAGCTGCAGCAGCAGCAGCAGCAGCAGCAGCAGCAGCAGCTGCTCAGCACAGCACTGGAGGAGGGAGCCGCCGAGGCCGGCAGCTCGCTGGACTTTTTTGTTATGTCGGCCGCCTTGGCCAGTTGTGTGACGCAGGTGCTTATCATGATGATGCTGATTATGATGATGATGATGATGATGATGATGATGATGATGATGATGATGATGATGATGATGATGATGATGATGATGATGATGATGATGATGCTGATGATGATGATGATGATGATGATGATGATGATGATGGTGATGGTGATGGTGATGGTGATGGTGATGGTGATGGTGCTGCCCGAGGCGCCTTTGCACCCCCCATGCGCCCGTTTTCTCCTACGCTTTTGGGGGGGCCGCGCGCCGAGCGCATGGATCGTCCGGCCGCTGCGCTGCGAGCCCTTCGCGTGCGAGCCGACGTTCGGGCCGGTGCGGGATTGGGACGCCCGAAATGGGTACTGAAAGAGTCGGCACTGTGCCCAACAGCAAATGTTGTCCCAAGCCAACAGCGGCCGCTGTTGGGCAGGCGGCCTCCTGTCTCGAATGGACACAGGCCGCGGCGGCGTGGACAGCGAGGCCTGTTCAAGATGAACAGGAACTGCTGTGGGGCATTGTACCCATTCTTTCAGTACCCATTTCGCGCGTGCAGACGGGAGGAGGAGCCGTTTTTCTGGAGCTGGGAGGCCGGCATGCACTCGGCGCTTCCAATCGGCAGGATGGTGGCCGAGTGGTTCGAGTACGTTGAGCGGAAGCTGGTGCGCGACCAGGACATCGACACGGCGGAGGCCAGAAAGTACAGTGGCAGAGCAAAGGGCCCTCGCACCAAGGAGGTTCCCTTGGGGGATCTGTGGCAAAGGGAGGCGCGAAGTCGGCACTCTCCTGCCACGGTTGCATGGATTGGCTTGCATGCCCTCCTGCAGAAAGCCGGAACCGCAGCGCGTGCTTACGTAGGGCACCGCGGCCGGGAGAAGTTGGTGGAGTGGCAGGGAAAGATGGAGTCCTTGGTCGAGGACTTGGAGATAATAGAGGCTGGGAAGCTCGGGAAGCAGCAGCTGCTGACCCTGATCCAGCTTACGTGCCAGGGAGGCGTGGACTCCGAGCAGACCATGGAGCTGCTGAAGGAGGAGCTGGCGCAGCGTCGGCAGGCCGATGCGTCCGACCAGGCTGCTGCCTGGCATGCCTGGGCGACAGAGGCGTGCAAGGATGGCGGCCGGAAAGCGCACCGATACGCCAGGAAGCGACCAGAGGAGAGTAGCGACCTGCTCCGCGGCGGCGACGATGGCCCGCCTATGCCTGTGAACGAGCAGCAGGCCGTGGAGAAAATCCTGGAGGATTGGCTTCCGATGTGGCGCCACAAAGTGGAGGGGGATGCGCATCCCTCCACTTGGGCAGTGGGCGAGGAGCAACTGCCGCCGCTAACGCTGGATCAGTTGAAGGACGTGTGCCAGAGCTACGCGCCCTTTGCAGGGCTAGGCTGGGACGGCCTGAACCCCAGGGTCCTTCTGCAGCTGGGGGATGATGCACTGCAGCGCTTCCTCGACATCGTCGTGACCTTCGAAGAATGCCTGGGTACCTTCGAGGCCCTCTTGACGCAGATCATCTCCATCCCCAAAGTCCGGGGCGGCGGCATTCGGCCGATTCGCCTCCTGGCCCTGTTCCCGCGCCTCTGGTACAAGCTGAGGCTCCCGTGCTGCGCGGCATGGGAGCGGGCGCACAGCGAGGATTTCTTCTGGGGGGGCTCCTCGCTCAAGAGCTGCAGCTGGGCTGGATACACTCACAACTCGATGACGGGCTTCGGCCGCGA